GTCTAGGATTAAACAAATTGATATCACACTTCCAGTGTGTGAGCATGACACTGAGCTGACAGCCTCAGAGCCTGAAGTATTTCAACACAGGAGCAGAGCAAATACAGAGGAAATTCCCGTTCAGCCTTCCCTGTACCCTCCCGCCGGCTCCCTGGGAGCCAGACTCCTGACCTGAACAGACTGTATCCATAGAAAACATCAGCGGTTTTCTCCTCTGAGGATGCCAGTAGTGGTATTTCTCAGAAATACCTGTTCCTATTCTCTGTGTCAGGGTTTCACTGTAATGCAATTATAGAACAGTGCTAACCTGGTAGGGAGCCAGCTCCACGCAGTAGCCAGATTAAGTTGTCTTATTTGGTTAACAGTGTTTTGATAGTTTTTTAAATCCTGGTAGGAGTAGAAAGGTAGGGAGTAGAAAGAGCAAATCTTCTGGATTATCTGCTCTTCGGTCACTTCTGTTGGTGTAATCCTGGTCTGAATGATGAGCTGCAGAAACAAGCATTTAATGTTTTATTATTGTCTTAAACACATGCATTGCTTTAACAGAATAAGCATATTCTCTAGCTATTTTTTCCAGTTTGCTGTTTTTATCACTGATGTGGAACGTAGTGCTTGCTTTCTTTATCTGGAACGAAAACATTAGTTCATCTCAGATAGCACAAGCTATTTGATCAGCTGTCAGATGGTAAGGCATTATAAAAGCTGCTGACACGGGACAAATTCAGACCTGTGGTGTGCAGCTTGAAAAGTCTTCATGCCCTTGTTATCAGTCCCTCGAGATACCCAGCTACTCCCTCAGCAATGGCAAAGAGAAATAGGAGTTGATTGTGTTGGAGCCAAATCCCTCTTGCCTTACCAATGCTGGGAGGCAGCAGCAATGGGGGTGGGGGGGGGGCGCAGTGTGGACACAGCAGGTGAGACGGCACCTGCCTCTTCCCCGCAGTTCTCCACGTGTGAGCTGTGACACTGCTCTGCAGCGGCCGTGGGCTGGCCGAGGTTAACCTGGGTTGCTGTGTAGCACTCACTGAGGTCCATGAGAGGTTTCTGCAGGTGCTGGTGAAGCAGACAGCTTCTCTCTAGTTCTCCTCTCCCTGTTGCTGTGTTAGGTCCTAGTCCGGCTCACCCAAGATACCCACCAAGTCCATCGCGGAGCTGGTTCCCAGCTACACCCTGCCACCTCTGCTTCTTATCCTGAGAGTGCTTCTTGGTATCAAAGTGCAAGAAAATCATGACTTCACATGAGCACAGTCCTTCCTCATGACCATATTCTGCCCCTGAGTTCTTGGCCAGCCCATAGCCCTGCCCCACCATGCATATCCGCAACCTGTGGTATTGCTAAGACCAGGGAGAACATGGCTCAGTGCCTTTTGATCAAAGTGTGAAGATTTGTCATACAATACTTAATATTCAGGCCTACTTGACTCCCCTGACATTATGTGCAAACCAAAGCCAAAAAAAGATGATACTCTTAATACATAATCAGAAAATAGAAGATATCATATTTTGCTGACAGCTGACTGCAAATCAAAGAAACAGGCTGCACAGTGCTTGGCTAACACCTGCCTTTGCAATATGGGAAAATTCCTGATATGCACTCTGCTTAATAGAGCAGTCTGGTAGCCAGTTCAGTCTCAGCTACTGTGAGAGACCAGCTGTACACCTGGACACCTTATGGGACACCACAAATATTATAGGGCGTAGGTCTTTGGAAGTGACTTGCCAGCTGATGTTTCTCAGTACATCTAGAGTGAAAAGGGCATGAAGAGCTCTTCCTAGGGCAGTCTCCAAGTCCTAAGGTTTTTTGGGTACTCCCATTTCCTCTAGGAGTTATCTGTGACAAGACTGTGTTTCAAGGTAGTGTTGTGGTACTAGTGCTAGAGGCTATGCTGTCAGTTAGTTATCAGCAATGTGCTAAATCATGTTCTCTTTAAAGATGTATTTCAAGGGAGATGAGGACAGGAACACCTGAAGCAGGAAAACCTGGGAGGCATAAGGAAGGGGATTTACTTTCATTGTGCTACCTCTTTGCAAGGTATTTTTAACATCTGTACCACTTCCAGGCTCATTTTGCATTAGCTGCAGATACTCTGACATAGTTTTTTTAAAAAAAGCTGTAGTTTGAATTGCACTGTTTTGTCCTCTGTTTGTGGCTGGGATGCTCATTAGCCTGCATGGGATTTAGGTGTGAAGAGGGAGAGACCAACAGACAGTAGTGCCTACCAGGGACAGCAGGAGAGGACGAGCTCCTCGCTGCCAGGTGCTCTCATGCTCACCGGCTGTACTTCAGCAAGCATGATTGCCTGAGACGTGTGCACGCAGAAATCTCTGAGGAGGGGGGTTTGGGCTGTCAGTGTCCTGACATCGGTGACTGGAGTGAGGCAGCCAGGGCTCAGTTTTGGTTTAGGAGAACACGATGAGTTTTTGGAGCAGTTTGGAGAGTGAGTGGGAGGAAGGTTGCAACTGTGGGAGAAGAATCATGACAGATTTATCACAGCCTGAAATAAATTAACCTCTGGGAGGAATGATTTTGTAATAATTTGCATTTAGATACTCTGACACATCCAAATAACCCCAAACCTTCTGTGAACATTGTAATGAATTCAGTCTCCAACATCCTGTGAGAGAGATAGAAATAGCACTATTTACATGGTTAAAGGAGCCAAGGACTCTTTTCTCAGTATTGGATTTTACAGCTCTAGGACTGCCCTTCTCTCTTATTTTTGTGGCTACGGAGCTTTGTGGTGGGGTGAAACACAGCAGCAGTGAACAGCTAGGGAGCTTTTCTGATCTCCGTTAGCTGAGATGCTGCCGCCCCACACGTCTTGGCCACAGCAGCATCCAGCACAGCCTGCGTGGGCCAGGGCAGTGAGGCCGGGAGAACACAGGGGAAGAAGCAGGAAGCTGAGCCCCATCTCAGCTCACGTCAGTGGTAGATGCAGGTAGGGCTATTCCCCCTGTGGAGACCCTGCCACAAAGCAGCCTGGCTCTATCCCCAAGGGGAAAGTGGTCAATTGATTTAATATTTGGCACTCTCAAACACAGTAATGAATTTAATAGCCAAAATGATCTGCAAACCCAGCCAGCTGAGAGGGTATTTGAAGGACGATCCAAGCCCGTAGCCAGGCAGTGTGATATTTTCTTGTCATCAGCCTCCTGCCTGTTCCCTTCCACTCCAGGGCAGTTAATCATAAATGAGATATTTGTTCGATGCTGTTTTCATGCATGCTCTGCCCTGTCTCTGTTTCCAAAGAGACCGTAAAGCTGGTGGGTTGCATCCCTCCCTGACTTCAGCAGCCTTGGCAGGAGAGTTGGCTCTTCCAGGGACACCCAGGTTGAACCACACATTTTGGCTGCTGAAGGCTAGGGCAAGCTGATAGTTTTCTGAAGGAAAGCTGAACATCCCAAAGTGTGTCTTGTCTTTTGAATGTAAATGTCTTAAATCCAGAATGCTTAGGGCAGCACAGAGCTGGTATTAGCTGAGCTGTCAAACGTACCCTGGGCACCTCCATCCTCTGCTGCCAGACCTGCTCAGCTTGGGGGTTGCAAGTCAAGGGCTGGGGAGAGATGGCTGGGTTTCAGTTGCAGACTCATATGCGATAGTGTAATTCTCTTTGGGCTTGACCCAGAGTTGGCCTTAGTCACTAGGAGCGTATCCATTACCTTCAAGGAGATTCGGAGCAGCCCTCTGCTTGCTGCTGGTTTGGCTTCTGCCATGCTCACTTGCTTTCGGTAAAGCTTTTCCAGGAGCCAAGAGCATGCGCTCTGGAGCAAGCGACTAGCAACATGTCAGCTCTATACAAGGGGAAATTTCTCTGACGCAGCAGTGGAGAAGGGAACACAGACTGTATCTGCAGATTTACTCCTCGTAAAACACCTCTAGCTCTCCATAGATATCTACAGATAATCTCCTGCCAAGTGAACCCAGAGATATTTATAGTGCAGCTTCAGCAATGACGTAACGGTGAGTTAGCAAACAAATGAACTTTGAAATATAAGGAGAGGAAAATATGGTCTAGAATGCATTTATTTTGGAGTCAATAAAAAAAAGTTAAATAATAATAGTGTTTGTTTCCAGGGTGGATTAGGTTAAAAAGCAAAGAAAGCAAAGCATTTTCATAGTGCAGTAAGACTATTTTGTGAGCAGTGAGTATGAATTACAAAGACAAATGATAAAAACTTTGCTTCCCACTGAGATAAAGTGCTGTGGTGCTGAGTACCGTACAGATGCCTGCAGAAAGCCAAGATAAATGTTGCTTCAAAAGGGTTTGAAACTGCTCTGAGTTCAAGCATTAAAAAAATTCTACATTCAGTTCACAAAGTTGTGTAAAATTAAGCAATTTTAGCTACGGGTGTGACTTTTCCCTTGATTTCTGTCTTTTTTCCCCTCTGTCTCTTTCCCCCTCTGTTCCATGGTGCCGGCTGGCTGGAGGTTATTTGAAGCTCTGCTAGCACAGCGAGGTGTTGGACTGATGCCATCCTGCTGAAACAGGCTCTCTGCTTTGCCTGGGGTGGGAGCATGAAGGTTTTTGTCTGGTCATGTCACGTTTTAATTAGCGCACCTCGCACTTCTGCTGCTCCTCATTGTTTGTCAGGGAGCTCGGGCACAGCGTGGGGCTCTTCCTCCCTGTCCGTCTTCCTCCTGCGGACAGGCCCTGTTCTTACCCAGAATCAATCTGCATGCTTCCCCCTTTCTTTTGTTTCTAAAGCCTGGTCAGGGGAGCCCACTTGACCCTTGACGGGCAGTTTGGAGGAACGTGTAGGAGTCTCCTTGCTGGGGTGGCCATATTTGCGCTCCCTGGTTTCAGTCAGGTGTCCTGCTCCGACCCTTCCTGAGGGGGTAGGAGACCATTTTGCAGCCAGGCCCTGCTTACTGGCGGCAGGCCAGGAGATGGGAGTTCTCCAGGCGGTCAGTTCCCACTGCTTTATCTTGGTTTATCAAAATACGGGATTTGTAAAGGGCTGTTCGTGGCTTAGGCGGAACCTGCAAGCCCTGGTGGGTAATGGCACGCAGAAAAGTGGCGGGAGTGCACGTGCTTTTGGGTGCTGTCATGTGCAACGGCTTGCAGGACCAGGACCCCATCTGCAAAATACGTCAGCGACTGAGCCAGCGGTGGTAAAGGCAGTCTTTGGGAACCACTGGGACCCTTTGGGATCCTTTTCCTTTTTTACAGTCCTTTCCAGAGAGGCCTTGTGCTGAAAAGGCCTCAGTTTGTCCTGAAGACAGCAAGGATAGCATGGAAGGATGTATACCACAGTAAAACAACTGTCAACAAAACTTAAATCCCCATCAGAAGTCCAGTGGCAGCAGAAATTGGATGGAGGCTGGACAAGAAGGAAGTTTTTAATTTGCCATGACAGGAAACAAAGCTGTGTCTTGTCAAAAAATTATATCTCTTTTTCTGCCTCTCTGTGACATGTCAGCAATCGTCATAATGGCTTTCTTGTAAAAATGCAGCTTTACAGAATTGAGCTCAGGGAATGGATTGCAACAATCTTGTTTATGAATGAAGGAAAGGCTTAGGCAAGCATTGGAACTTAAATTGCATTTGGTATGGCAAGCATTGAGCCACATGAAGTTTATATTTGACTCTTAGTTTTTGTACTGAAGCAAGTTGCTGCTTTTCCTGTGCTTTGATGGTGTGGGGCAGTGGTGCCTGGGTACTCGTGGGCACTGGGAGGGGGCCCTATGGGAGATGGGAGCCCACAGGACATGCTGCCCTCCCTGACGCTCCTGTCGGAGGAGCACGACACAAGCCTGATGATGGGAGCTGTTCTCCTACAAAAGCTGGTGAGCAGCAGTTCCCATCACATAGGCAGGAAGGCTTCTGTGTTGGTGCAAACGCACACAATAACCTATTTTCCAAGGGCAGGCTCACCCCAGCACCCTGCAGAGGTTGCTCCAGAGCCATCTGTGAGCAGGGACCCGAGGGCCAGGAAAGTGCATACTCATCCTGAATGGCTTCTGCCTAAAATACATCAACTACAGAGCACTCCTGTCAAAACTGCACTTAGGCTACTAATGACATGGCATTCACAAGGGTAGGACACATGCCCAGTTTCAAAGACCCTTTACTCTAAGGCAACCATTTACTAAGGTCTCTATGCATGAAATAGCTAAGGACTTTAATGGGAAACTCGGGAGGACTGTGTAGGTTCAGGATCTGAAGCTGTCAAGACAGACAAGATAAAACATGATTTTAAAAATATCTTTCAGCTCAGCTATGATGTTAAGATAGCAGTCCTGTAAAACTGCCAGCAAAATCAATGGTAATCCCAATCAAATTATGTTAAGCATGGTAACTTCTTTGTAATTGGTTTATCTCAGTGCGTGCTTGGAACAACATGGGGTTTTATTAAAAAAAAATAACCCCGATGTTTGATTTCATTCAAATTCTTATTGCTGGGTAAGGAGAAACGTGGGGTGTGCTTGCAGGTGGATGTGTCTTTGTAAGGACTCATAAGAACTTAAGAAATTATTTTTAAAATTTTGCTGACTCTGCCTATGCAAATGCTTTCTTCTCCACAATAGAGAGATTGCAGAGGGCGGGAGGAGCTCCCGTACTGAAGAATTTTTCAATTTGACTGCCGACTCATCTTACCTTTCCTGTCCTTCTCTGTAGCAAAGGGTATAATAATATTTAGTCAGTGATTGTCATAGCAGCTTTTTTTTGGGGTGGTCTTGTCTCTGAGAGATAAATTTTTCATTGAAAAAATAGTAAATGGGCAGATTTCAAAATGTGTGAAGGGGGAATTAGTCACCCAAATTCCACTGGCATTCAGCCTCTTGTCTTTTGAAAACTCAATAGTCTCAACCTTTCTGGTTATGGAAATGCCTTCTTAGGATAGGTTTTTTTTGGGGGGTTGGTTTAGGATGGGGGGAGGGCATTGGAGTTTGGGTTTTTTTTCTTGGCAAAGTAGTTTCAAACAGTTGTTCATGTTAATTCTAATGAGGATGACTAGTATGTCATTTAATCAGAGATTTCCATGTCTTCTAGGATGCTAGGCAGAGCTGGATTCTAGGGCAGGCTTTGAGTAGGAGACACTTGTATTTCTCTTCTCCTTGCCCCATGTATGAATTTTATGTCCTTCACTTTTCCTTCCCTCATAGTCAGCAGTGAGAAAATTTGTACCTGTATTCACACGAACCACTATACCAATGCAGGATAACTCAAGTTAGGGGGTAAACATGTAAAGCCTGATGCAGATCCAGGTTACTAGAGAGCTGGAATATTTTTATGTCAAGGTTGTCTGGTATGAAATCCTTCATTTTCCAGGCTTTCCTATTCAACCACATTTTCTCTCATTTTAGGGGAGCACCTGCGAATCTGCCCACAAGGCTATACCTGCTGCACCAGCGAGATGGAGGAGAACTTTGCAAACAAAAGCCGAAGTGAATTTGAAGCCATGATGAAAGAGGCTGGTCGCTCTGTGCAGACAACCCTAACAGCGCAGCACAGAAGCTTTGACAGTAAGTAAAACCTACTTGGTTCCCTGCTGCTCAGGTTCTAGTCACTGTTTGACTTCCCAAGCACTGTTCAAGCCAGGGATTTGTGTTCGACACGCCTTCCTCTGCACTTTATTCAGTAGTTTGCGTGAAATGTTGACCTTCGATAGGAATTGTACCTCTGGCAGTGTTTTTGCAAGACCAAGACATTTTGAGAACTCCATTTCAGTAAAGCCACTGAGGGAGGCTGGCAGGCGCTCATACCAACAAATTGTGTACCTTGGCACTGACACAGCTTTTACAAGCATGGCGTAATCAGGTCTTACCACAGCAGCATAACGTTTGAGGTAGTGATGTAAAACTTGGCACTGTGCCTTGAGCTGTAAGTTGAAGAATATGGTAAAGGTGACTGGACAGCCCTTGGTTGGGGGGGG